TTGAATTGAACTGTTCTCTACACCGGTCCAAAGGAAATCCGTCCCTGACATACGTATCAATCAGTCAGTATTATATTGTCATTATCTATCCATTCTTAGTCAACGAACTCCTAAACCTTGTCTAGTTTAGTCATCTACAGTGATCTCGGACGTGAGGCTAGCAACCTAATCCCGTTAAACCAGCACCACCGCTACTGAAACTTCGTAAGTTTGAAGCCGTATGTTCCACCCAGAACACAAGAGATGAAAACATATCTATATTTCCAAGTATTGGTTTTGTAGGGATTTTTTTCGTTTGATTGCATGGAGGATTTCACCATGAGCTGACATCAGTTAGAGAACCACTGGAAAATCTGGGAGTACTGGACAGCTGTTTCGTCCTAGTTTGGGACTCTTCATCAGTGCGCACCCACTGGGGTTCGAACCCAGGACCTTCTGGTTACAAGGCGAGCTAGCTGGTACGCCATTAAGCCACTGGGACCCGATCCAATGGTCCTTGAATTCTAACTTCTGCCAATTCCCGACATAGCGCGACCATTTCGCAATGTCTTCTTCGATGAGTTACCACCTCATCTTCAACCTGGTGTACCCTATTGGCAGAAGTTGGAATTCAAGGACCATTGGATCGGGTCCCAGTGGTTCAATGGTCCACGAGCTCACCTTGTAACCAGAAGGTCCAGGGTTTGAACTATGGTGGTGGGTTCGTACCGCTGAAGAGTCTCAAATTAGGAAGACGAAATAGTAGGCTGTCCAGTACTCCCAGATGGTTTTCCAATGGTTCTCCAACTGATGTCAGCTCATGATGAAATCCTCCATGCAGCCAGCACCGAGACAAGCAAACTAGGGGGTGAAGTGTCACACGAAAACAACCAATCACATTCAAGGTTACTAGAAGAGATGACTAATAAACTCATAGAGAATTCTAAAAGCTCACTTCACATCGAAGTATGCGCTGAAGATGTTGCTCAGTAGAGCAATGAAAGCTTTGCAACCAAACCATCCAGCTCAGAGAACACAACCACGCCAAAAACTATATATTTATCATCTGTACAAATTCACTGAATCTTTTTCACTATAAGCATTTTATCAGAATACTTTTGTAAATCACAATGGCTGTGAACTTGGGTTTGATATAGCAAAGTCCGATTCTAAATAAACTCATTACTTTACTGAACCACAGGTTTCGTCCACTGCTATAAGAAAGAGGCTGCATTAAAATGCTCATTTAGTATCTAAGTTATTCAAAAGACGCCAGATTATGTGAGTGAACACTGTACTCGGACACAGTTATTCCATTATATTTGAATAGTTTAGCGATATATCTTATACCGTTAGTCCCACATGTCTCTTTCTCTTAACGTTCAAGATTTCACTGACACACACATGCATACAAAAAGATAGACTAACACACAAATACCGTACATACACACATAAGTGCACACACGTTTCTCAAGTTAGCAACAAGTCTTTTTTTTAATTTTGATAGCTTAATACACTAATGACCCATACAACAACAGCATTACTGGAAGCCAGGGACCACTGGACCACTGTTTCGTCCTATTTCAGGACTCCTCAATAGGTGGGTGCTCATCGAAGGCATTAGTTGACAAAGTTAGAACTCATAGATCACTGAATTCCAACCAAAATGGTTGACCTTGTAACCTGAAAGTCGTAGGTTCGATCCCCGTTGGTGGGGCCATGGGTGTGCAGTGATGGGAAGTCCTAAAATGGGAGGAAACAGCTATGCAGTGCTCCTAGGTATTTTCAATGATCTCTCTAAATGATGTTGGTTTGTGACGAATAGCTTACAAGTGAAATTAGTCTGATATTCCCCACAAATTTTGGTGGCACAGTGGTAAAATGATTGCCAACCACGGAGGTGGTTCGGGGTTTGATTCCCGGCCGACGAACTCCCTTACCTCTCTAAGCCAGTAGTAAGGCTGATAAAGAGGGAAGGTTGGGCATGAGGCTCTTAATCCCATCCCGAAACTTCAAAGCTCTAGGTTGAAGTCTTATGTTCCACTGGGAACGTAAAGGAATAAAATGAAATAAAAATCCCTAACAAATTTTGAAAATTATATAAAGCAAGTTATGAAGTAGTCGTGTCGAGGCATCCATATGATTATGAGAGCAAAACTTGTGCTCGGAATTTCATCCAGTTATTAATACCGTATCACGGTGTGTGTATAACATCTAATAAACTTATCTGGTTTGGGCTTATACTCTACCACAGTACCCGAATTCTACCCGTACATTAAAATAACATTTACCAGTTATATGGTGTGATATGGTATATATTAACTGAGTGACAATTCTGTTGTAAATAAGAATTCCTTGTCTTGTGAAACAGGACAAGCCTTAGAATTATAAAGTTTTTGTTCTTGCCTTCAATTTAGCCCCAGCAAATGAATCTGTACTGCCTAATACTAAGACTTTGTAAAACCGAGCTATCATTCTTAGTTTTCACTAGTAATTTCCGCTACTTTCATCCAGAGGATTCTTTTTGGCAAAACAGCGATAAAACCTAACAGTCGTTCTATCTTCTTCCAAGGTTACTTTCTCAGGAAACTGTTATAAAAAATAATAAAATCATAGGTTGAAACTGCTTGAAATACAGTTATTTCTAGTGTTAAAATATGTCGCTCTTAAAAAATTCATTTTTGTGAATTGTAGTTCATCCTAGCCTAAGTATTATGGGAAGAAGTAGACCGACAGTGGGATAGAATATCAATGAGACTTATGTATCAAAGAGCGCAAATGAAGGGGAGAATTCAACCAGAATATTGAGAACTTTAGATATCTTCTATCATTACCATTTGAATTTTCAAAACCAGCTAAAAGAAGCATTTAAGCCATATATGTCCAAACCAAGTTCATTTTTAACAGTTTAGAAAAATTTGGGCATTGGATATATGATATTCATTATAAAAAAGGTTTTCTTGTATTTCCCAATGAATGAAAAACAATGAACGATATTGCTTTTACTGACGTTTCGCTATTTAATGCTGCTGCTAATAGCTTTATCGAAGTATTAATTAACCAGAATTTACAAAATCTCAGCATATATATAACAACTTAATTATCGTTCCTCAGCATGGGGTCATTTTTCGTTGTCAATTTGGGCAATTGGTAAAGATAACAAAACCAAGTGTGTGTAGATTGTTGGATTTGATAAGTGTGTAAAATTATAAAAACAGCATGTGTTTACATAATGAAACTGCTCATCACATTCGTGTTGATTTTGTCACTTCATGGGGGAGGGAGGTGTTGTAACTAGGTCAAATTCTGTTTCAGTCCATCATTCATATTCAATTCAGACAATTTGGATTCCATATGGTGATATGAAGTGCTTCTGATGATGTGAGACGTTCTTTGTGATTTCTGAAATTTTTCTAGATTATTTCAATATTGTCAAAATCAATTTTGTGACCTGATTCTATAGCGTGTAGACCTATGGCTGATGATTTTTCTAGCTTTTCTAGTTCAACCGGATTTCTCACTGGTCGAACAGATGCTCTATGGTGTTCATTTCTTCTGATTTTGATTTCTCGAGATGTTTTTTCGATGTATATCACATCACATTCCAAAGGCATTTTATTTTATAGACACAATTAGATAGAGAATCTTTAGGGATTTGGTCTTTTATATGGACAAGATTGTTTCGCAGTGTGTCTGATGTTTTGAAGAAAACTCTAATGTCGAGCTTATTGAGTACTCTTCTGATGATATCGTCTGATGTCTCTGCTCTATATGGAATGACAACTGTTGAGGTCCATGTTTTCGGAATACGTTTTCGACTATATTAAATGTCGGTGTTGATTTTTTTGATGAAGTTCTTTGGGTAGTTGTTTTGCTTGAGAATTTCAGTAATGTTTGATATTTCTTCTTTTTCTTTCTTATCCGTTATCAGAGAGTGTGCTCGTCTCAGAAGACTTGAAACAACTGATACCTTTGCACTAACGATCGTTTTGTTTTTCATTCATTGGGAAATACAAGAAAACCTATAGTATTTAAGCTAGCTATTAAATAAATATTCAGGCTAGTTTCCTAAAAATGAAATACGGTTTAGTGATAGTTAAGCGGAACAATTTACTTGGTGTAAATAATGTACTGAGTTGGTGACTCAGTGTTCACTAGCCACAAAGGAGGTGCGAGTTCAATTTCCGACTGATAATTGCAACTCTGAGAAGAGATGGAAGGTTGGATGTGAGTGTATCAGACTCACTGCGTAAAAACAACACCGACACTACTGAAACTTCAATGCTCAAAGCCTTACGTTCCACTTAGAATGTAAAAAATGAAAAAATAACAATCTACTGATCTAAATTGTAGTTCACATTGCTAATTCACTAAAACAGATAAAGGGTCAGAATCAGTTTAGAGAGCTCAGTTATATTCTCCTGCATTGCTTAAAACCTTTACTACTTATAAGTCAGACCTAACCGTGACCACTACTCAGTCACACCACAAAATTAACCGACAAAGACATTATACAAACCTTACAAACCAAACTATAGAAAAAATTAATCTGATGCTCGCTAGTGACTGACTGGCTACAGGATGGAGTTTCCTGGAGTTCTAGTGAGAAGTCGTGACCAGTGAGGTTCAACCAGATGTCACCGACGACATTGGTTGGTGGTCGCGCTAAATCACGAATTGGTAGAAGTTAGAATTCATGGACTGGCCACTGAATCGGATCCCAGTGGTTGAATGGTATACGAGCTAGCTTGACTTGTAACCGGAAGGTCCTGGGTTCGAATCCTGGTGGTGGGTACGTACTGCCGATGATTCCTAAAACTAGGATGAAACAGCTGTCCAGTACTCCGGTGCTGGTTTTCAATGGTTCTCTAACTGATATCAATCCGTGATCAACTCGTAAAAAGACATTATAGTAATTATTTTGCTATCCTAGACGTACTTATGACGAAAAATCTTGTTTTTTATTGTTTAACGTTAGAAGTGTTAATAAAAAAAGTAATTTATGCACACCAATGACTTACCAGCTTTGTCTACAGCTAAAAATTTCACCCATATATGTAACATGGCACGCATAACAGCATCTGAACGTCTTCTATCCAAGTGAGCTCTTTGAACAAGAAATTGACCAATTTGTAATAAATCATGACAACGTAATTTCATTGTTTCATTGACATCTAAGCGTCTGTACATGGTACGCATTTTCCCCTCCCATACAGGTCCACAATCAAGTGTACCATAGTCTTCAGCACGTTTATAATTTAACAGTGGTCCCCATAGCCGTACAGCTTTACTTTTTCCATCATCCGACATAAAGAAATCAACAAAAATTTTTAAAAAGTTCTCTTTATTCATTCGACCTGCATCAGCGTGCATTTTAAAGATTAGCTCACAATCTTTCGGTACTGATTTCCATGCAACCATCAGGGTTTGAAATTCTGGTCCAGTTATCTTACCATCATCATCTTGATCCATAGCACAAAACATTGGAGTGATAAAATGTTCATCGAATTGTTCACGAAATTTACCTTTCATTGCTTTTGTCATATTATCTACAAATATTGACTCATTTAAATTCATTGTAGTCGCTGACTGACGTGGTACATGTGTACAAATGACTTGATACCACATGTATACTAACATTTTGACTAATTCATCGTATTTATACGCTGCCATTTTAGGATAAACATTGAATATTGACGTTCCAACTTCTAGGAGATCATCAACCATTAAGTAACCATGTCCAGAGGAGTCGAGCCGACGGAATAGGGTACGCATTTTACGTATCCATGTTGGACCTGCAGTGAATTCGGGGTAACTAGCAGCCGCCATTGTATATTAGGTGTGTGTGTATGTATATGGAGGGATTCAAGACTTCTTCTTTCTCTTAGGAATTGGTGATAGATAAGTCAAGAAGTGCCAAGTGTAGATGGGAAACTTTAAAATTGATATCTAGTTAAAAACAGACTGCACATCAGTTTATATTTACATATATGCAGGCTGCATTTTTCGATTTCTTTCAACCAATAAATGAAGTAATTTACATGGATGGCGTCTACCCACGCAAAATCCTCAGTTGTTTTAATAACCTAAATCCATTAAATTCCCATTCAAGTATACGCATATATATGTATGTATGCATGTATGTATGTAGGTGTATTGTGCACAGTAGTCCACAGTAACTATATATTTAGTGCACATAAAACTAGTCAATAAAATTCAATCTTTTACAAAATTTCCACTTGGTTGCCCTCTTTTTTTCTTTCAAACAAACATTATATTCATCAACAACATTTGTCTTGTGGTGTTTTGACCTCAATATTAGGAAAAAGAGACAGTCATTACAAGTGAAATATAAAATGTAATGTGTGCCATTTTGTCTACCGGTACACATAATAATGGAGTGTAAGCGAAGATGGGAGAATATTGCTTTAAATCTCTGTAGGTGCGTGTACGTGTGTGTGAATGATAGTCAAATGTGGCAGAAGTTTGAAGACTGCGGCAGTGATTACGAAAAACTATAAATTTCATATTCTAAAACTGACTACACTCTTACTTCTCTAATAGGATGCAGTACACGGTATATAATGGTGTATCTTCCTCTCCTTTGCTCATTGAAGCTGGAGTTCCTCAGGGTGCTGTTCTTTCTCAGTTTCTCTTTTCCTTCTTCTTACATGATTTACCTCTCTCAGATGAAATCAACTTCGTCAAATATGCAGATGACCTGTCTGTATCGTTTCCCATTAAGTCTCAGTCAGACTGTTTCAAATTAAATAGCTTCCTTTCGGACATCAGTCGGTGGTCTGAACTAAGTGGTCTCATGCTGAATCCCTCAAAATACCAGACTATTGACTTCTCCCTTAGGCATAAACAAGATCTACAAACACTAATAACTTCTCATGAAGACTGTTGCATTGAGGGGACTAAAATTGAAACTAAGTCTTATGCAAAATACTTCGGTCTAGTTCTATCTTCCGACCTTACTTGGACATCTCATATCCTAACGATTTCTAAGAAGGTGATCCGTCTTACTTACTACATTAAGAAACTTAGACAATCTGGAATCACCCAACCTCTACTTTCACAATTTGTCAACTATTGTATCTTACCTATTCTACTTTACTGCTCCCCGTTAGTCTTTCCTGGTCTACTAAAAAAGGACTATACCATCCTGAGAAGGATGTTGAAGGTAGTTAGTAGGACTAGTGGTGTAAAACTCAGTCAGCTCGCCACTACTTTAGTTGATAGGCATCTGAATACATGCGATAAATGGTCTAAAACCATACTCTCCGACCCCCAACACCCCCTCTAATCCCAACTCTCGCCTTGTATCTCATCAAATAAAACCAGAAATCAGTATTAAATAATCTATGCTCCTACAACCAAGTACAGGAACTCAAGGATGCCATACTTGGACCGTGTTCTAAGTGACAGAGGAAATGTTAGCGCGAACCCTATGACTTGCTTTGTTGTTAATAACATAATTTTAGGCTCTTTTATTTCTCTCTTATTTTGTATTCTATAGTGAACTCCTTCTCAAACATACTTAGCTACCTAAATTACTAACATTGGCTTACTTTTTTGTACTTTACTATATTCCTTCTATTGTGTATCCACTGGTTCCGACTCTACTAGCACTATGAGTATTACAAAATTGTCCTGTCATTAACCATCATGTAATTATTAGTTTTTGTGGTTGTTTTTTCTCATTTTCCATACTTTTCGGCAATATTAAACTGACAATCATTGGTTGTGAACGCCATAGTCACCACCTTAATAAATTTTGTATTATTCAGGATTACTCACACTACCACTACAAACACTACATTAGACCTGACAATAAAAAACAAAACAACAACCCTGAAATGTTATTTTATGATTGTTTAGTGTTGTTTCAATCAAATAAACTGACCATCTTGGCGATAATCATTCTTAAATATCATTTCATAACTTCTTGTATGACTATAGCTTTACTGTCACCATGCATAATCATATCATAGCTTCCACTACCCAATAATGAGTTATTATTATATAATGTTTATTTTCCTTTCTACTTCTTGGTATTTTTTCGCATTTATAATTATTTTTGTGTTTATCCTGTTTTTTCCTTTTTTTTGCTGTTGGTGTCTTTAGGTTTATTTTTCTTTGTTAAATACTCCTTTTAAATGTTTGTAAAATTAGATGCAAATATTGTAGATATGTGCGGAAAATTCCACAGTGTACCACTAGTACTGTTTCTGGAATAAAGCAAATTATTATTATTATTGATACTGCCTAATAGGGGAGTGTAGGAGGACTCATCAACTGGATATACCTCCTTCCCAGTGAGGCTGGAATCAAGCAACATTCGTTTCAAATGTTAAAGCATGTTATCCATGAGAGCCACTTCTCGTATTGGTTGACTTTTTTCTCATTTCTTGAGTTTCAGTTGAGTTTCTAAGTGAGTTACAATATTTATACACAAACTTTCACATTTGCCAGGTTTATTATAGGCTATTCAAAACAAGCAATAAAGGTTAATAAAGCAGGATGATTTAATGAATTCATCAAATTTCGGTAGAACTCGTCAGCTGAATACTCTACATACACGGATATATATACTTTTGAAATTACATTGGGAGATATAGGACTGATAAGTAAACAAACTACATTGAATAAGTCATGCAGAAAGACAGATGCGAATGATTTTCCAGGTCATGTTGAAATAGATAAGGGAAGAGAGAGTATGAGAGATCAAAATTAAGATAAATTGTATTACACTTCAATTACATCACTTAGATAAACAACTAGACATTAGACACCATTCGGAACGTAGGCATTAGACACCATAGACCTGGTTTATAAACTCGAATTTCACAAGCCTCTGCAATTACAAGCGTCTTCTTGTTTCTTTGTCTGCTGACAATAGTGAATGACTTGACCGCGTCGATATCATGTCCGTAATTCACAAGATGCTTTGTTATTGAAGATTTTGGCACTTCTCACTCAGCTGTTTTTGGGTTAGTAAACTAGGTGGAGTTTATTGAATGGAATCGAACCCTGGAGCATGTACATGTGATTCAATAGCATTCCATCAGTGAATCAATGACATGCGATACAATAGTTATCAGTTGTTATTTATTGGAGTTATTTCGGATTACCCACTGACTAATTTTATTTGACGTGTTGGTTACACTAGTCTGAGTACCCTTTTTTCATATCGTCTTTATGTAATTTGAATCAAATCAAATTGTAAAACGTCTACCAGACATGCAGGAGTTCTGGGTGGGGTATGTGACACTGACAATAATTTGTAAGCATTTAAATATATATATATTGTTGGATGGTTGGGGTCTATCGGCAGGAAGCCCAGTCCAACCTAGGTTTCGTGCTAGTTGACACTCATCAGTCAGCAGGGCGTATCTGGGACCTTAAGGGAATTCATATCCACTCTGGGATTCGAACTTACGTCACTCAGTGTGCTGAATTCAGAGAAATAAAACTAAGCTATTCGGCTTCTCTACTGACCTCCTATAGGATCGAAATAGATGCTCTCCATGGACTCCTGACTGACAGAATTCAGTTTGCACTAAACGAAGGACTACACGCATAACATTAGAGACTACCAAGTGTCAAATGCTAACCGGAATAGTCTAGTGTATTGTATCAGAGTACGGCTCTGGGTGACGCAGTTTTGAATGTCAGATGGGACAAGAGTTTCTTCAAGGTTGCAGATACGCCTTACTGGTGAATGCTAAGAAGCACGAAACCTATGTCTAAGGCTTCCTGCCGATTTCTTCCGATCATCTAATCCCAACAATTTAAAGTGCACTGATATGGTGAGCCACCTAGCATGGTGGCAACATTGCAAACCTGACCAATAGAAATCAGTCTTCACCGAACAAACGACTAGGCGCATAATAATAGCGTCCAATCAAAGTATATATAAATAAATATATATCATCTGGAAGATTCCTGAACAGGTGAGGGATGGATTTGATGGCGGAAAAAGAAATGAACGACCCCTGGAAAAACAACACAGAAAACATGAATGGAAAACAAATGAAGCATAAAACGGACTATGTGTGCAAATTGTGATTTCCACATAAAATTACTTACTACTGCTTGTGGTTTTCTGTTAATATATATTCTAACAGGTTGCAGAGATTTATCAGCAGTTGCCTTCTCCGACTCCAAAATGAATATCGGATGGTCAGAAAGCAAAGGTAACAAGAAACTCTGGAGTTGAAATCACCATGAATCCATTGCCAAACAAATATCTAAAAAATAAAATAGAGATGGATTGGACACACACTGAGGAGACCGTTTGGTGATGTCGCGAGCCAGTTAGGCCCTCAGTTGGAACCGAAGAGGGAGACGATGAGTTAGGTGTCCAAGAGTGACATGAGAAGAAAGCTTATAGGCAATCACCGGGCAGCTGAGAATGACTTCAGAGAACAGGACAAAATGATAACATGCAGTTGAAGCCTTACATTCCACTCGGAACCCAAGGGAATAATAATAATATTTAAACAGAAGTGAATAGCCTTACTTTATCATGTGTACTCCTTGAAAAGGCGCCTCAGTACTACCATAATTCATAAATCGAAGTAACTTGCTTAATGGTGCTTTTATCAGGCAAAAGCCTAGTGGATAACACTTAGGCATTTAAAGCGGTGAGTGCTAGTCACAGTCCTAGTGTGAACGGAGTAGATGCCCAAAGCGCATTGCGAAAGTGAGTCTTCTAGTTTAATTACTATATTCCATGCATCTATGATATGAATCCGTCGATGCCACTGAGAACTAGACAAATGACACTAGTTCCACCCATCTACCAAAAATCTGAGTTGATA